TACCGCCCGAAGACGATTGTTGATACTAACAATCGAAACGTCGTGAATTAACTTTGTTTTGAATCTTTCAATTTGTAATCTTCATTTCTTGTTAATAATTTTTTTAATTTTCATGTCGTGTTATTATTTAATTTGATCTTTATATGAATTATACTTTGCCTATGATTCCATTATTGAAATTACGTTAAAATATTACAAAAAGTATATATTTAATAAAAAATATATTCCTTTGTTGATATTAGCTGTGCCTCATACAAGTATCATACTTCCCGAGATTCCTCTACGTTAATTTTTGGTTCATTCTTATTATTATTTCTCACTTTGAAATTTTCAGATATAGTTCGAATAAATTAATATTACTATCATTATCGATATTGATAGTATGTTTTGAAAATAGTTTTCATAATTGAACAACAAATAGAGGCAAATCCGTTATTTGAAATCAATCATTATTCAAATCCATTATTTGATGAGAGATTAACATATTTTAGTTAGAGAAATAGGTAGAAGGGTACATGACAATATGTTAGACCCCTTCATGAAGTAATTTCCCTGAAATTGACGATAGTAACGCTCTACCATATAAGAATTCAATTGTATAGAATATTACAATATTTTTCAAATTCCAGATGATGGATTTTTATCATAGCATGGTTTATCTTCATCAAATTTTTGAAAAAATGAGTAGAATGAAATCAGTTATTTTCGGTATAGTTGTGACAGATTTTTGAAGTCTCTCGTTTACGACAATATTCAGAATACCATGAATTCATATGAAATACAAAAAAACAGTGAAATATACAAAATACTGAAACTCACCCGTACGCATTCAGCAAAGCTTCTTTTCCGGCTTCAATCAGGGGATACGGTTTTCCATGACACGTTCCTCGAAAATCGTCGTTGTCTATAGCCCAAAACATAATCCCTCCCAAACCGTTTTCTGCAACGTACTCAGCTTTTTTCCTAACTATACTCTCATCGTCATATCCTACCCATTGGTCTTCTTTGAACGCAATTGGCCCCATAGCGTCAGGGTTAGGTTGATCTACTTCCCAATCTTGATTTTTCACGTAGTCACAAATCTGAAAGTGATATCAATACTGTGATTTCTAATATTCAAGAATCAGTCATTATTCAGTATGAACACAAATATCACAATTAATATTCCACAAAGTTTCTTTAGATTAAACGAATGTCAATATCATGGGGCATTTGATTGGGATCGCGAATTTTTTCCGTTAAACACCGAAGACAGTGTTTCTAAAATGTATTCTATCGTAGATATAATTGTAACTGAATATGTACCGAAATATGCTCAACATAACATATTTATCTAATAACTGTAATAACTGCTCATATTGCTCATATTGTTATAAAGGATATTGCATATCCTTCATAACAATCAAATCATTTATTGTTATTTTCACCTCATCATTTGGTGATGTTTTTTTGGGTTTGTCCCGTTTTGTATTCCACTGAAAATAAATAAATAAATAAAAATAAATGTTAATTCAAATGATATTGATTCACTGACTAATCCTTGTCTGAGTGTATGTTCGAAGTTACAACAAGTTAATTTTTTCATTTATTCATTAACAAGATTATAAAGCTTTGGAATCGTTTTGGGACGTTTTGTATTGAGGAGTTTGGCACATCAGTTCTAAAACTCATTTTGTTGTGAAGGTATTCAGGTTATGAATAATTAGTGGAACAGTACACAAGAATGAATAATCACATTTTTAAACGATAGCCATCCAAGGTCCTCAAGGTGAGTAGAAGTTCGCACTGGTCTCAGACTCTTTGGTCTGGAATGAATGCAAAGCAGGGAGGAAGAGATGTGGGTGGAATACAATGAAAGGAAGACAGAATGCATGTACATACAGGCCAGACGGGATGAAAGAATCCCGGTCATAACGGTGAATGAGAGAGAAATTGAGGTCAGAATGAATGTAAAATACCTGGGAATTGTGGTGGACTCTGGACTCTTATTCATTGACCACCACAAGGAGGTAAGAAAAAAGCTAAGCACATTGGCGGGGAAAATGAGAAGATGGACCGGGAGGAATATTGGAATGAAGAGAGAGTGTGTTAGAATAATCTATGAAAGGGTAGCGAAACCTGCAGCTATGTATGGGGTGCAAGTGAGGGGGAGTAGAGTGCATGACAGTAGAGTCAGGAGACAGCTGGGCGCGGCCCAGAGGCCCTTTCTCATTGCCGCATGTGGGGCATATAGGACAGCGCCGACAGCCGCGCTCAGTGTGATCACGGGAATAGCCCCACTTCATATAGAAGCCGGGGCTAGATACCATGAATGGAGAATGAATGGGGAAAGGAAGACTCAGGACAGATTGAAAGGTAAAGATAAGATACTTCCCTGGATGCAAGGGGGTTTACTGGAGGAGTCGCAGGAATAAGGGATGGACGAGGTATATGTGGATGCCGGAGCGAGAATGGACGAGGAAAGAATGGGCATTGGATGGGCGCACGAAAGGAACGCAGGTGAATGGGCTCTAGGGAACGAGAGGATTCCCGAACAGAGCAGTGTGAATGAAGCGGAACTGATTGCCATAGAGAAGAAGGTGGTAGAAATGTGGGGTATGAATGAGAACCTAAGGGTGATCAGTGACTCCGCAATTGCGGTGGAAAGGATGAAAGTGGTGCGTGTGAGGAATAAAAGGGTGGCTAGAATACAGAGAATGATTGAGGAGAGGTATAAAAGTGGGGCACGGACCGAAATCGTATGGCGCAAGGGTCACCTACATGACAACCCCGGTAACAAAAAGGCCCACAAGGAGGCGGAGAAAGGAATGCGTAGGGATAATATTTCATGGAATGTGAGGAGAATGAGTAGTAAGAGTGAGGAGAGAAAGAGGATAAAGGAATGGATAAAGAAAGAATGGCAGCGAGAATGGGGCAACAGTATGACTGGGCGAGTGTTATACAGGTTTTGTAGAACAGTCGGGTATGAGTCACTGGATCTGTCGAGGAAGGCAGTCCAGCTGTTCACGGGGCATGGTAATTTCCCGGGATACTTGGCTAGGTTTAACCTGGCGCTGGAGGTGCCGTGTCCGTGTGGATGGGGGGAGCCTGAAACGGCAGAACACGTGATAGAGAGATGCATGGACGGCGATAGAACTGGATGGCGCGAATGGAAAGAACGGCTGGAACAAGAGAAGGGAGGAATGCAGATGAGAGACAGGAATGGAAGGAGGAATGAATGGATACGTGTGGCGAATGAGTGGGCAGAGAGTGTCGTGAGAGAGGAGAAGGACGGATGAGAGGCAAGCTACCAATGACGCTGTTGAAGAAACGACGTTAAAGTAGCGAAGATCTTCCCAATTGAAACAGTCATGGAAAAGATGCTATCTGACTTGTGGAGCTCTTACAGGCTGAAAAATGATTTGTCAATACCTGGAGAAAATTGCTTAGTTAAGTTAAATTAGTTAAGACTACCTTGAAGAGAAATATAATAGTTAAGTATAATTAGTTAAGTTCAATTTATTGTTAAATTTTGAAAGTTGTAAAAATGTAAATCTGGTTTGTTTTTTTCAATAAAGTTATGGGTCTTTGATCCTCGGTGATTTGGAAGAGCACGGGTCCTTTGACAGTGGTGATGCCTAGGATAGAGGGAAGATGCCTAGCTGAAAGGCTTTCGAGCCAGGGCAGCACAGGGCAAAGGCATTATTCATGTTCTCTTTAGACTGCAAATAATGATAAAGCGACTGTTTTGTAACCATTTGAGCCTTCCACTTTCCAGTTATTGTAGGGAGAGCCTATACACCACATCATAGTCACATATTCCTTGAGGAAGTTTGTACTGGGCAGAAGTCAATGAAGAACCTTCCGTATTTTAAAAGTTTTATAACGAAATATTGTATTGTACGAAGGTGTGAGGGTGGTCTGGAAAGTATCCGACCTAACAAAGATGCAAGACATTTTTTCTTTTTCAACATAGTATCCTTTTCACTCTACACACTTCTCCCATGATGCTCCCATTTCAAATAGTACTCATCACTTATCTCTGCAAAATAATTGTTCACCAAAGTGATTGCCTCTTCATTTGACAAAAATCTCTGTCCCCCGAGCGAATTTTCAAGATGAGGGAACAAAAAGAAGTCGCTTGGGGCTAGATCTAGCGAGCAAGGTAGATGGTCAAGATTCGTGGATTTTCGCCAAGGCATCCGCTGAGGTGTGAGGCGGTGCGTTGACTTGGTGGAACAGGATTTTCTTTTTCACCAAAGGGCCCGTTTTTTCGCCTTCAGATTGTCAAGTAATGATGAGTATTATGCTCCTGTGATGGTTTTTATTTTTTGAAGATAATCGAATAAAATAACTCTATGACTATCCCGAAAAACACAGGCCATCACTTTTCCGGCCGAAAAGTACTTTCTGCTTTTCCCCCTTTGCAGTCCACTGTTTGGACTGTATTTTTGTCTTGGGCATATAATGATATATCTAGTTTCATCTACAGTAATTGACCGGTGCCAAAATTTGAAATAACGCAATCAAGAAACATGGAGAGTCAAGAGCTGTTGCGCATAATATTTCTTAGGCCTTTGCCCCTGTGTGGCCCTCCAGCTTCCTGAAAAAACGTTTCCTGCAAGTGGCGACGACCAGGGATCTATACTGTCCTCAACCCTCTTTTTATTGTATATAATCGATTTATTGGAAAAAACCAAGAGTCCAATATATTGCTTTGCCGACGACAGCACACTTGTCTCGTCATTACATTTGGATTCCAGGATATCAGCTGCGGATGCACATCTTCACCAGCAGCAGGAGGTTGCATATCTTAATGAGGATCTAGAAGTAATTTCGAATTGGGGTGAAAGTAACCAGGTTCCATTCAATGTTACAAAAACCCAGGCATCGGTTTTCTCTAAAAAGAAATATGTCTGTGAACCGGATATGATAATGTCATGTCAGATAATTCCCCTTTCTGCTTCGATAAGTTTGTTTTTGTTGAGGGTTGAAATGAACACGAAATTGTCTTGGCACAATCATCTCGCTGCAATTGCGAAGGATGGTTCTCAAAAGTTTGAAACACTGTCCTGAAACAGAATACTGTACATACCTCAGCAACTTTCGATGCTCTATAAAACTCAGATCACACTTTTTTTGGAGTATTGTTCTTATGCATGGAGTTCCGCTCCCAAACATTCTTTGAAGCTGCTGGATTCCATCCAGAAAAGAGCCATCCGCCTGATTGGAGAGATTCGTCTCTCTTCTATGAATAATTTCATAGGAAGTGTTCAAGTGACACATTTGATTCCACCAAGAGCGATACGTATCAGAAATACGCGACGGACTCTGACTGCCCATCGTTTTGAGGTTCAACTCAGTACACCTCGAATTTCCCTGTTTAAGAACTCTTTCATTTGGAGAACTGCGTTTATAAACTCCCTGAAAACGTTTTTCCAATTGGCTTTAATCTCCAGCGATTCAAATCCAATGTGAATCACAACTTTCGCACAGGCACCGCTCTAAGAGCGCCTCTACGATTTTTCTGTAGTGCTTGTGTTTTGTTCTTAAAAAAAATAATTGCGCCTAAACTGCGTCAACAGAGCGTTGGAATTGTTTTAGGTCTAACGTGAGCAAACGCAGCACCCAACGCGCAAACAACTTTCTCATGCCTAAATGTTGATTCAGTATGTAACAAACACGTTTTATGACATGTTTATCGTCTACCAATCTCTTAAGCGGCGTTCCCACGAGGCGTTAATCACGACAGTTAACCACGCTAGTCAACTTTCGTTCGTGACACTCACGAAAGTGTGAGTTTATAAAACGTTCACACGGTTGGGGGGTTCGTGCCGTTCACGCCTCGCGTTTCGACTAGTCACCATCGAAACATCGATCATGAATGATCTAGTTGTTGAAAGTTGTGCTGTTCTAAGTTCGTTTTTTGCTACTATCTTAGCAAAAAATATAGAGTGCTTACAGGACACAATTACAAGAAAACGAAAAAAAAGACGTTTTTGGGTTAGATTTGATCTATCCACGCTTGAGTCGTGCGCCGTTCCTCACGAAAGCAAGTTTAACGACTATGCGTTCACACAGAAGTGTATTTCACGAAAGCGTG